TATATACCGCCTACACATAGCACTATGCTATCTATTGCTTCTCTTCAAATGTATATATAAATGTTGTACACTTTTGGTCCTTTTTGCGTATGCGATATTCTTCTACTTTAATGTTGTTAAACCAGTTAACTCCTACATTTATATACACGCAACATCTACGTACACACATTGTGCAAAGAAAATGTATGGAGCACGCAGCCTCATATTTGTATGTATATATCTATATAAATACATATATTTATATATATATATATAAGCATATATATATATATATAAGCATGTCCCGGCTGCTTGACTAGTTGACTGCAATTGTTTTACGGATAATTATTCCTTTGCTAAAATCATCGTCTTATGTATAAGTTAAACTAGTGCACATATATATATATATATATATATATATATATACATAAGTTTGTATAAGTATTTATTACCATGACGATGATGATGATCATCATCATATCCTGACCACTTATTTCTAAGAAATTTTGCTTTCATGTTGTTGGGCTTTTGTAAATCACATTTTTTTCCCTTTTTTTTTTTATTTTTTATTTTTTTTTTTTGCTTCCCTTGCTTTGGGTTGTCATTGTCAGTTAACTTATCAACATTTTGCCAAAATTATATCATCAGCTCGAGTCAAACTTTCATTAAGGATAGCATAAATGTGCATACGAGTGCGTGCTTATAAAAGGAGCATGTATAATGTTAAAGAAGTCGTTTTCGTAATGTAAATATGAAATTATTTAAATGAAATTTTTCTAATTGTTGAACATTTGTTTATAAGAGTTCTTAACATCAGAAATTTCTATACATAACATACAACAAAGTCTTTAATAATAACCAAAAAGCATATGCTCTGCTAGTAAAAAGTTTATTGCCCAGTTATAGGGAAAAACAAAGTTTCAATTCCTAAATTTAAGAACACCAAGCATGCATGCATGCATTTTGACAAAATTTTCATGCATAAATATTTAGGTTGTATGTGTTATTTTCATATTTATGGACAATAAATAGTAAGTGAAGGTTTTTATTAAGCATTTTTACTTTTTACAGCCATTATAGTCAGAAAGTTGTACGACCTTTATATTTTTACAATTTACATGTAACGAGTTCTGCAAAGCTTTCCAGACAACGATGTCAGACGACCTCACACTGCTGTCAACAAACGTACGCCATTCATGTCCATAGCACCCAATCCATTTACTTTCACGATCCGGTCAGCACGATTTTCGATAATATATGATTTAATTGCGCAACTAGCAAAAAAAAAAAAAAAAAACTCTGCAAACTTTCACTCGTTATACCTGAAATTCTTGTCCGACTATTTATTTTAGGGTTTTGGATTTCCAAATCCAAGAAATGAGTCCCTTCACTCCGAATAAGTTTTCTTGAAAATTATCATTCTTCACTCGTACACTACCAGCAATCAATTAACGAACGTACGGAGTTGAGCCTAATCCGTTTCGTCAATTCTTATGTCAACGCCAACCTATACGCACTGAACAATGCGATAAATATTTGTGATGGTCTCGGAATGGCCAAACTTATCCTTTTAGAAAGTTACAAACCGTCTCCATGATATTTTCATCACTTCGTAGGCAACTATACTGTAGAGTTTAGGCCCAAGAACGGACCTTACTTAAAATGCAATGCATCTGATTATTTATACGAATATTCCCGATGTATATTTTCCATTTCAAAAAAGGATTTATATAAAATACGCAGTTTAAATTCGTTTTGGATTATTTCTACGTCCAATTACTATCTCGGATCAGTTTTCACCATGAAATCTATTACCATAGGAAGATGTCTGTAGTTTTCAAAGAAAGCGTTATATGAGCTGAGGTTCAAGAAATTACTCCATCCAATGCAAATTTCTTACAACCATGTCAAAGGCTAAGATACCATCTATTATTCATCGATTTTTTTGTGGAATTTTGTGGAGATTTGCCTTCTTTTCAATAGTCGTACAAATCGTGCGATCAAATCCATTTTAAATAGGATTCGTCCCTGGATCCATGCATGTCATGAAGTTAACTAAAATGTTGCAAGCATTCGGAACTGTAGATTGGACGGACGGACAGGTAAACAAACAATGTTAAATCAAAATCAGAAAAAAATATCAGAAAACGATTCTGAATCGATCGGTATCATAAAAGATGGATCTGTTTTAAACCCTTCTAGATGTTTCAACCTCTGGGTGTCACATTCGTACAAACGTAATAATATATAACCTCCACTATAAATGATAATAAATAACTGATATAGCAAACTTTTTAATTTTTATATTAATTAAGACGTAAATTTGCTCAGAGAATCTCACAAACTACTACCAAGAATATAATGTTTGCTGTCATAGCAGTGCAATTCAGTTTGCTGTCGTGCATAACAGAGATGTATTATGTAGAAAATCAAATTTATTGTATATGATTTATTACTCATATTTTGATATTTTTCTAATATCACAGCAAATTTCTACTATTAACAATTAAGGTCTTAGATTAACTTACTCCCAAGTTTTTCTTTACGTCGTTTTTCTTTTCTTGCTTCTTCAAGGCCCAGACTCTTTAATACGACAAGGCAAGTTCACTAACAGTGAAAAATTGAAAAAAGGAAAAATTTTTTCAAATTTACAAATCAATGACAATAGCACCGGCAAACATGATGCCCTGATTAATATTTGATCTGTAGTAAATTTTCCTTGGCATGCACATTGCCGTAAATAAAAATCAATAAACAATCGAAGTGTGAGAATTACATGCACAATGATGATGATATTGATACCTGTCTTGTTAGTTGAGGTCATCTGCTCATCATTGTTATTCGAAACTTTCAGGTGACTATCATACGTATGTAAGAAACGTTAAACTGGCATTGCCTATGGATTATAAACCGAAATTTTTTTTTTCACATATCTGGTCGGATTGCAGTATTCTTTAAAACTTGGATTTCTTAGTTCGATTGAAAACGTGTAAACAAAACTTCAATTTCGTCGGTGAACATAATCACGGTATAGGGAATTATAAGCGGGCAGATAATTGAACGAAATCATGCTAAACTTATTAATTAAAAAAAAAAAAAAAAACAACTAAAAGCACTGTAGTAGACTGTAGGGTCCATCGTTAAATACTCCGCGCCACCCTACAATTATTCATATAACGACTTTTCAAAACGGAGCGTTGTTTGGGAAATGGTTAAAAAATCCGTAACATTTGTCTCTAAGCCAAAACACCTTAGGGCACCAAATTTCATCAAGATATCTTAAAAATTGCGACTTGGAAGTTTTAGATTAATTTCGTTAAATTTATGAATTGTTAATAATAATTTGTAATGATCATGATTCCCATTGTAAGTAATATTAAGGTGCCAAGGTGCTATAAAATCTCTTGCGACACGAAGTTGAACAAAAGAAGACAAGGTGGACGGATGGACAGATGGGCTTAGATCGATTCAGAAAATGATTCTGAACCGAATATAAGTCAAGTATCTCTAGCGGTTGCATACATCCGCACAAACTTAATAGACGCTTATACAACAAGTACTCTGGGGTATAGAAACCGAAGAAAACGTTATTCAATTATTTCTAAGAAGACTGCAATGTTTAAGTTATACGAGAGCTTTAAGTAGGCTGCGAAAATCAAGCCCGTAAATCTGATGGACCATAATATTTTTTATATTGCAATACATTCATGATTATACAAGTAATATTTTCAATTTGAATGGAATCGAGTGGTGTGTACACTATACAGTTTTAATTTTTTTTTTTTTTTTTTTAAACAAGTCACAAAACAAAATATAAAAGCAGACTTCATCCACATTCATGCCTCCATTTTGAAAATTTACCTTCATTGTGGATAAATCTATTGGTCCGCTTAGCTAATTTTGTAAATTCAAAGTCAGACCTGCAATCAATCAATTTGACAGCAGCCAATAAAAGTCCTTCGAAAGAACGCAAAAATCAGTTGAAAAATTTATGTTGTCCCTGTTTTGGGATGCACATGCTATCATATTTATCGAATGTCTTGGAAAGGCACGAACGACCAATAGTGCATATTGCATAGTATTATTAGTGCGTTTGAATAACGAAATTGCATAATGGGACAAACCTAATTCTATGTACTTCTTGACTTATGTATTATATATACGATCAGGAACTATTATTCAATTTTTATATTCTTTTGTCGAATTTTTCTTTGCTTTGTCGCAAAACACGATTCAAAGTAGACACAGGATTGTGGTGCTGGCAAATATAAAAAAAGAGAAATTTACAAGCTCTCTACACAACACGACAGGAACTATTCTTTTATTTTGTTTTTCTCTTTTAATAAAATTACACAGAAAATATATTTTATTTCTGTAGCTCGGTGATGAGGGTCAGAAAGAGGCGAGAAAAGAGATAGGAAAGTGTTTGACGCAGTCTAATCGGTATGTAAGTGTAATGATCGTATGGACTGACCATTCGACCTAGCCCCGATCAACGTAAATCCACCAATTGAAATTAGAATCCACGAGCACCGATTTTCTTATCGCGTTCCTTACCTACTTAGGTACTAATACGGATCTACATTTCCGTTACATGTAACAGACTTAGGTATTTTATCAAAAAAATAAAAATAAAACTAAATTTAACTCAAATAATATTAGATTTATTCAGATGCATACAAACGAGATATTTTAATTTTATAAATTTCTCTATTCGAAAAATTTCATCTCTTCAATCTTTTAAATCGTGTCCTACGAATAGCCGGAATAAAAAGAGCTAAAATTAATTTATTTTGGTTCGATATATACGATTTTGGTCAGCATGTACATGCGTAAGTAATAACAAACATATTGAGACCTATTGCATTATATACTCGGTGCCTTAAGCTAAAATGCAATGAATTTAGTTACCTCTCAACCATTGGTTGGTTAATGAGAACACGCATTTCCATGTACACTGTTATGAAAAAGTGCATATATTTTGTTTTTTTTTTTTTTTCACTATATTTCCTCTTTTGCAGTAACTATCAACAAATTCAGCATCTGGCTTATGCCGGTCATGAGATTGCTACAGAAAGCATTTCACAACAACAAGGCCTTCAGGATAAAGGCTATGAAGAATGGGTTGGAGAAATGATTGGCATGCGAGAGATTTTACGTCATTTTTCCAATGTGTCCGTTAATGATGTGGTGGGTATGCGGGCGCCATTCCTTAAACCGGGCCGTAATACTCAATATAAGGTTAGTATTCGAAATTTCATAAGAATCACTTGAATATCAGCAATTATTTCACAACCCAATTAACATAAAATTATCGACTTACCCCATGCATTTATATTGAAAAGCTACCAGGCATATATAGCAGAGTGAAAATAAGAAAAAGAAAAACATAGCAAAAAGGTATTAATTTTGGCTTCAACCGAATCTATTGATACCTAATGTAGGATACGATTTTTCATAAGAAATAAAACTTCAATCTCGATCAATACATTACTGAAGATTAAACATATTTACCTATGCAGATTAATTCTAATCAATTTGTGACGGCAAATATTTTAAGATAAGTAATATGATGCATCGACAACTATCGCAAATTTTACGGATTTTTTCCATAATTTTAATAGATGAGAAAGAATATACATTGTTAAATTGATAAAGAGCCTCAGATCAATTGTTATCTTTAATTTATGTTCTTATGTAGCATTCGATGGATGTATACGTTAATAGACCTTTCAATAATGAATAGCAAAAAACTTTGAAACATCTGCACAACATGCAAACCCAATACTGTTGACAGTAATACAATTTATCAGTCAACATAAGAGCATCAGTGAACATTTGGTCGCCCCTCCCATATATACCGAATGTGTACGAATGCAAACTCAAATGAATGGCAATATAACAAACTGACATTTATATAACTTAATTATCATTATTGATCAACAACAACTCCTGTAATACGCAGCGCATTAATACGTCAGACGTATCAGTTGTTGTTTAGGTACAAAGTTGTGGTGACGTTCAATGCACATAACTTTTTCATTTAAAATACAGTAATGCGAAAGGAATATCGCAAAATGAATTCATTGATATATGCAAGTTTTGCCTACTCATAAAGTATCAATTTTCAGATTTATACCTTATGGCAACAATTCTGTGTAGTCGTCAAAGGGAAATGTCAAATTTTTGAATGAAAATAATTTAACGATAGTTAATTAAATTAATATTGTAAAAGTAATTGATCGATGTGTTCTGAAAATATTCAGCATATTCTCTGAGGCTATTAATCAACCGCAACTGTATCGATGCATGCAACGATTACAAATTTTCGTTGAATAATAATTACAAGAATCCTTTACGCACATCTAGAATAGGAAGTCGCATAATCGTTATTATATAAAATAGCAGAACGAAAAGCATTAATAAAACACGAGAGTTGTACTAAAAAGTTTATAATAAAAATCAAACCAAATAAAAATATTCTATAGTCCCACAAGTTTTGCCTAATATAAGACTTTGTTTTTACCGCCGACAAATATATGTCACATTAGGTACGATATTCCAAAATTTACGCAGGAGTTGAATTGAATAGAAAAACCGAACTTTTCAATATTTCTACTGAACCATTATAACCAAACAATAAGGTTATGCGTGGAATAGCGCATCGGACAAATGACTTCCAAGTTCTTTCCCGGCACATACGTATTCTTTTAATGAAATTTTCGATGATCATTTTGCATAAATTTGCCTGAACTTCATTCATGGAGCGTTGAATCCCCTGCGTAAATGCGCGGCTCCTTACGGACTCGAGGGCATAGAGTTTTCACTTTAAATGAACGCATAAAGAAGAAGTCCAGTGTTGTAAATTTCTCCGATCATATTTTGTACAAAATATACGGAATGCGGTCTTTCATTATTTTTCAAATGAAAATGCGTTGCTGTCTCGTGTAATGCTCAAGTTTTATTAACACTAAACTGTCGATTGTCAAGCTGTTTTTTTGGGGGTTACCAATACTCTACCCCCCAAAGGAATGTAAATACTTTATTTCCATGTAAAGTCATGCTACTCATTGGAGGGATTCGATGATAGGCGATTCAAAACATGTACTGATATAGTTTAAATTTAGGAAAACTTCTTTGTCACAGATCTGATTATTCTTCATCTATTTTTATTATCAAGGCCATCACTAAAAATTAGGCTTGATTGTCACGTTAAAGCTTGCTTTATATGGAAGCCCTCATATAAGATAAAGTGGAAAAAAGGGAGCTATGTGCTGCAGTTTCGATGCGACTCGCTTTCATGTCGGACAAGTTTTCCTTAAAATGCAAATTAGAACTTTCGTTTACCATAATGGGAATAACTACAGCAGAGAGGGATCCAAAAAAATTGACCTATTCAAGCTAAATAAGGCGACAATTATTCTCCAATAATTTTGAATATTACAAACTTCAATCAATAGCAGCTGTAGTCACTCCCTATCTCTCGCGCTCACCCCATTTCTTTCCGACCGTCACCGCATAACATGTATAGGACGCCTGACCTGAGTTATTAATCTCAGACAAACTTATATCGGTCCAAAAAATTATCCTGAATCTATTCGTATAGTAAAGCGTGCACATTCGCACAAACTTAGTATACCCTGTACCGCAAGTAATTTGTAGTATAATGATAAAGATTTTCTGCCATTTTCCTTTTTTCTTCCCCGACCAATCTTTTAGAAATCTATTACGTAATAAACGATTGAACTGTAAACAGCACGTAAAACAAGTACGCTATGATCCTTCTTTGGTGGATATAAAATTGCAAATTTTTCAGTATCAATTAGTATCAATATTCCATTACCTTCTTAGCGACTGTAATCGATCTTATGAGAAGAAATCCAAATCTATGAAATCTAATCAAAAATATACCTAGCATGCCTCATCTTTTTATTTTAATTTGCCCATCCTTCGCTAACAAACGCATTGACATAGAATTTCGTGTCGATCAAAAATAGAACTACAACTTAGTTCGATCCGTTTTGGAAGAGATATTGTAAGTAATACTGACAGGCGCTGAATAAAGCCATCACTTCTTCATTTGAACGTGCTGTCTTTAAGATATAAGCAACTCTGTAAATTATTATACTAAAGCGTGCAGAACATAGTTTCTTTGAGCTTGGAATAGATCTGCTTTTCAGAAAACATTACTTTTCCTACTTTATGCGAAGGACAGTGCTATTCAATTTTTGGAATTGGATGCGTTATGATATTCAAAATCATGATACAAAGTACGCGATCCGTTAACCCCAATAATAGAACCGATTATTCGCGGCCGCATTTAGAAGGGTCAATTGAACTGACTAAATGAAACTGTCGCTACGGAATGCAACCAGTAATAATTCTTACAGTTGCAGTACAAAAAATAGACGGGATTAACCAAAAGTGATAATATGACGAGTTCTTAGTGCGCAAAAAATCGGCCCCATATAGTAAAACTCGCCTAACAAATGCTTGCAGTTTTAACCTAAAATATCGTAATCCTCCCCGTTATTATCAGGCAACAATACTCCGTCCGATTAGCATTGACATCAATAAATGCTACATTGTGCTTCGATTCTTATAACGATACCCGAATATGAATTCTTCTGGCTTCAAAAGACAAGACAAATTTCCGATATGGAATTACAAGATGGCTTAAAAGTTGGGAAAAAGTAGTAAACGGCGACGCGTAATCGTTAGATTAATCCGTTCATTCATTTTACTACGAAGTAAATACATTTTTGAGCAAAAAAAAAAAAAAACGGACCGAATTAATTTATAGTCCCAATATTTTTGTCAAGTGGTAATAATAACGCCTCAACTCTTGAATCGGTTCAACTGATTTCCAAAGCAAACATTTAACATGCTTCTCGACCTTTAGCTTACGAAAGTGATAGAAGAATTTTTAAGAATAACTTTATTCTTCTTTATCCAAAGACTCGAGAACATAATCAAAGCAGCAAGCAATTGAAAAAGTTACGAAAAACAAAGAAAAAGCGATTGAAAACAATAGACAGAGAGACCGTTGCCTTTCATTTTATGGTCTATGTATTGAAGAAAGTACCTTAGAGCTTAAATATAGTGACAAGTAACGTACAACTCAGTTTAAAATCTCAATTTCAAAACTGCGGACATTTTAATTCAATTCTTGCTTGCAAATGGAAAACGGATATAAAAATAACCGAATCGAAATATTTATTATCGAAAGTCATAACATGTTAAATTAATCGTCTTAGTATTATGCACAGATATGCGGCTCAAATTGACTTTAATAGAAGGAACCAATTCGAATACAATCTGTAATTATTGTAGCAACGTGTAAAGGAATGATTATCATAAGGAATGATTATGATATGAGAATTTTTAGGAAATCTCTTTTTCTCTATACCAATCAAATAATAAGTCATGGAATGTAGGTTAGCCTAGAATTAAATTTAGTCCCATCCGACTCGATACTTACCAAACAATCCCAGTTATTTGACGACTATATCGGTTCGGACTTGTTCGTCTGTTTTGCTTATAACATAGCCTGCCAAACCTCATAACATAATTTTTATTTAACAGAACTGATTAGTTTTCACATTAAATCGGTTTATTAAACCGCGCCGTAATTCTGGATGCAAGTTATTTTTATATATAAAAAAAAAAAAAAAAAAGAATGTGCGTACAGGGTAAGATCGCGTTTCCATGAGAACGATGGCAGCTCGCATAGACAACCGGTCGTTTAAACGATATTATCCCTGCCAAGTTAAGCATAATTAAAGGACCTTAGCTAGGATGAAACTAATATGAAACTTGTTTTTTTTTTTTGTTTTTATTTTGTTTTAGTTTAGTTTATTTTTTACTTCTTTTTGTTCTGCACATCAACACTTCGGAAAGTGTGTGGAAAAGGAGACACGTTTGTCGTCATTATTAACACTAAATACACATGTTTTCAATGATATCCCTGTGATATGTTGTGTAAAAGTACAACATTTGCGAAACACTATATGTATATGTTACGATAGAAGTTTGTTGTAGTTGCTGTTGTTGTTTTTCTTTTGATTTTTTTGTTTTTTTTTTTTTTTTTTTTTGCTTAACTTTTTTTTTATGTCATCATATTTTTTAAATATCAAGTAATATTTGTTTGTACATATGCAGGTTATAGAAGACTTTGGCTATATTTATGATAGTTCCATAACTGTGCCGCCAGTCCCCGTGCCTGTCTGGCCGTATACGTTAGATTATAAAATCTCGCATGAATGCAAGAGTGGCACCTGTCCATCGAAAACTTTTCCCGGCGTCTGGGAAGTTCCGCTCAATACACATTACGTTGAAGGCTTTGAAGGCGGTCACTGCCCTTACTTGGATCAATGTGTGCTGCATAACTTGGATGAAAATGAAGTATTTGAGTGGCTGCAAGAAGATTTCTCACGTTACTATGAACAAAATAAAGCGCCCTACATGATGCCATTCCATACTAATTGGTTTCAAACGAAAGCTTTAACAAATGGTTTACATAAATTCTTAGATTGGGTTTTAGAACTGTAAGTATATATATATATATGTATACGCTTATAAATCTCATATACATCGAAAACGCAAAAAAAAAAAAAAAAAAAAAAAATGATAAATATATTTAATGAAATCTGTTTGGCTAAAAGTTATAATTAACTAAAGTTAAAGTTGACGTGCATACAAATTTTCTTACCTTTAAATCGATTTAAACGATTACTCCGAAACTCTCAATGTACGTCATCCATAAAATATGGGAAAACGAGAGAAGCTTGCACACATATATCGCTTATTTTAATGAGAAAAGTTTAATTTCGTTAAAGTTCCATTTTGTTCAAATCTACGAACAGCAACAAAAACAACAACAACAACAACAACAACACCATATGCGAAAAACTTTACTCAACTGAAGTCGAATTTAAATAACCACACACCTAACAAAATTAGAAATCTATTTAAATCATCATTGAAAACGGCATTGATTTAATGAATGTATGTAGTTGATTAACCAAAATCTATTCCTAATTATTGTTCATAACATTTCTTATGGGCTTTTCTTTGCACATTGTATTGCAGTATTTGACATGTAAATAGCAAACAAGAATGAAGAACATATTCAGCAAAAATCCGTAAATTCTATTTAAACCGAAAGCTGGTATTAAAACGGTTTTTGGCCAGTAAACTTTCGTAATAAAATTATTTGCTATGTTAACACAGTCAGTCATATATAATATGCATATATGAGTTCATCTATGTAGATTTCCTATGTATATTCAGGTCTCCATATGTAGGTGGTTTAAATTAGTCAAAAAATATCAGAATGTACAGTATTTTCATAAAAGATTTACAAATAACTGAATCAGAAAAAAAAAAAAAAAAACCAAATTATAAAACATTCGTTAACTGATTACAAAATGAACGAGAAGTAACCTTCAACTCATGCATACTTGCATTACAAGTACATAATACCTATACTTATAGACATTAAAAAGTTCTTCTTCGAATATCCAAAAGTTTAAGTATAAAATTTCATTAAACGTTAAATACCTTACCATAAGAATGAATTATCAATATGTTTATCACTAAGAATGCAAAGTGCATCAAATTTATTATCATGTTGGTTGCCAGAGTCAGAAAAAAATATTCAAGAGCTTTCTATGGACAAATAATTTAATATGCATATGCGAAAATACCGAAATGGATCGATTTACTCATACTTAACTTAAATAACTAACTGATTTAACTAAAGTAAAATAGCAGATAGATTGAATTATGTAAACACATCAGCTATTTGAGGAATTTCAATTATTTCGCCTTATATTCAAGCACTTGAACCGAATTATAAAGAAAATAATTGAAAAATTAAGAGAATCTACCTCCTCAGCATTTGTCATCGAAGTAATGGCGTATTTCATTGCCCCATCAAGAATCTTCAAATCCTACTCTTTTCTATGAAGGAATCATAGCGCAAAGACCTTGCTCATCTGCATAAGTCACAAGCTCCTTAACGATTGCACAAATTTATAGCAAATCACATGGACACCGGTTCTACGGGCTTTGTTGAATCGCCTCTCAAATTGTAGATAGATCACAACGCACCTCAAGGTCGCCAATGTTGAATTCTGTGCCAGATTCGAGTCACAAGAGCAAAAAAAAAAAAACGCCCATTTCTCTCCAAATTGGTTCATTTGTATGCCCCGGGCGAACTATAAAGCGTACAAAGAAATCTCATTTTTCTTTAGTAGTCATCTGTGGAAAATGTTTTTTCTTTTAAAAATATTAATCTATATATATATAAGTTTTATAAATGATCTTACCACATATCGCTTGAAAACGCCGTAAATGGAACGTTTTCTTAACTGTAAACATTATGATCAACCGTAATTTTAGTATAGATGGCCCTAATACATTGTTACACAAACTTTGAAGCGAAAGGATCAAATCACAAATAATTAAGAAGAAGGATATAAAGCGATTAGGAACCTTGATGCGTATTTTTGGCAAAGGAGCCGAGGAGTCTTAGATTGCTAGTGCTTATTCTACTTTAGTCGGAGATTTTGCTTCTTTTCATTAAATAAATTATGATAATAATGATCTCAGTCGTCGGCGAGAAATATCAAGTTTCGAATGACACTATTACTTACTACTCATTATATAAACGCAACGCAATTTTTTTGTTAGTTGCAAGCCAAGTTGATCACAGCCTCTCTCATCTTATGCTAATTAGCCCTGTATATTGTATGAAATCGATCGACTAAGATCGCCATGTTCCAGTAATGTATGCGTGCGTGTGTGTGGGCGCATGAAGCAAGCAGCATTTTGAACGCTAAATTCTTAGATGTGATAATTCTGTCAGATTTTAGAGCAATATTTGTAAAAGGCGTTCGCAGAAGTAAACCGAAGCTTTCGAGATGATTTCAGACAAAATCTGCTATTTGTAAACAATCTCGGTTGGGCTTACAAATTCTCTACCGATTTCAGTCGAAGCAAGCAGAAAGACAAGCGTAACTAACTTAATTAGATAGACTAACTAGATACTAAAAGAGTTATGTGAGAATTTTGTTGAACCGATAGGTAACACATTTTTCGAAAAATTAAGATCCGATTGATTTATAATTGTAGAAGTGTTTATACTTACCTGACGTGTTCGCGGCAGTCTCGCAGCCAATATTGACCGTAATAATACAAATAAATGATAAACAAAAGTTTCCAACCTATATTCGGACAATTGTTTTTCGAACTTGTTTTATTCCCCCGTAGATGTATTCATGGATGGGTCTACAAATATTTTAGACTTGATCTTGATCAAAATTAGTAATGTTGCAAATGCTGCAATCTTTGCGTTTCTCTCATAACGTATTCAACTTGGCGACATTAGCCAACAGCTTGAAGTTTGAATCGAAATAGATTAAGCGAGTCTTACTTATCGCACAATATCACATGACCGACGGATAAGTTCAAAATCATTATCGATGTATATTGATTAAAAGTTATTTAGACTGTATTAATTCTGAATTATATTATGCATCAATCGACATATATAGATGAACATATCCTGCGGGGCGAGTATAAGGCTACCACTTTGTTTAATAACATTGAAAACAATATTCTTAGTATACTTCCCTTTCAACTTTCATTTCGTCTCATCACAACAAGTTTTTGCTTTTCAACAAGAATTTTATATTTAATATTTATTTTGTGTAATAAAAAAAAAAAAAAAAAAAAAAAAAAAGACTTCAATAAAATAAAATAAAAGAAAGGAGAGAAAGAAAGCGGAGAGCTCGACGTAGCTGAATTTAAAATTACATCCACTGTATATGGAAAATTAACGCTATTGTGTATGTGCTGCGGACAGTTAATGTTTTGTTCGTTCTCCTTCTTCTCCTTTTTCGCTCTTATGTCCATTCTCACTGTAATTCTTAATGAAATAAAAACATCAGTAGCACCAACAACAACCAAGTTATCGTTTTTTGTTTTCCGTTTTTTCATTTTTTATTTTTTTTTTCCTTTCTTTTTGTTCATTTCGCCTTTTTGTTTTTTTGCAGGTAAATGAGCATGTCTCACTTGTGACAGGAATTAAATAAAAAAGGCGCAACAAGAAATAAATTAAATTTGTTTTAATTATAGCGAAAATATACACACACGCGCGCGCAATAGGAAATTTAATTTAAAAGTCAGTTTAAGTTTCCCTTTTTTCTCTACTTGCGCAAAAAAAAAAAGGGGAAAAAATGAAAACAAATTAACTAGTTAATGTATAAAAAATGTAAAATGAATTTTGATCTGTTCATATGTACATTCATGTACACATATATAAATACGTATTTATGTATATATATAAAACTCTGTGTAGGAAAAACCAAAGATCAAACAATGCTTTTTTTTTATGCTTTCACGCCTGAAAATATACAGTTTGTTATTCTATTTGTAACACCCAAAAGTCGGCAACCAAAATGTCCAATCGTTTAATCAACTTTACTTTATGCATCGATGAGTTTATATTGCGCTTATTTTTAAAATGAATTTATTACCTTTCGCTTTTTTGTTCGACATCACCCATTCCCGAGGTCAATTAAATTCTTTGACTGTAGAAATGCTAAACCCATAATTTGGCTTATTTACTTTCAGCATAAAATTTTTCATAATTTTCGGTAATTTGATCTCCGAAAAGAAAAATTAAACATTTTCAATATCTCTTAAATATTATATATATATATCTTCCTAGAAATATATATGAATATGTGTCTGTTGAAAAATTCATACTTATCAGGGCAATTAAGTGAAGAGTTGAGCAATTTCTAATAATTGCGGGGTATTCAAGATTCGTTCCAAGTTTCTTCGCTTGTTTTTTTTTTTTTTTTCTTTTTCTTTTTGTTCCTTTTCTATTTCTTCTTATTTTCCTGTCGTGTTTCGTTATTCATTTTTGCCTTTCCGGCTTCGATACTTTGACAAGTATTTAATTTGTTTATATGTCGTCTGTTAGTGTCAAAATAAAACAAATGCTATCGACATTTGTTTAGTAAGTTTATCGGGTGGCAAGCTGAACATGAAAGCCATTGGTTACTTTTCTCAACTTCCTTGCCTCATGCTTGATATTGAACTAACTCAAATCAATATGAAATGTTTTGCTGACAATTTTATTAAAATTTAAAAACAAAAAAAGAAAACACATACTTTTTAAATTACTCTTTTTTTTTTAAGGCAAGTAACATACCAAAATAAAAAATAAAATTATGAAATAAATATCAGCAAATGGCGAACTTTTACAAAAACGTAATAGGAAGTGACCCTGCTATGAGGGGTTTGCTCGATAAGCAGCTATTCTACGCGTGATGGGTGCGGTGATGGGGCCTTTCTGTCAAAGAATTATAACATTTTTTACGGTATATTTATGTCTCGAGTATGCTATTATGTAAGCACTGTCGATATAATTCTCAGTAGAATCAAAATTTCCAAAGACTTCAATTAAGACTGCGATTATAATGTAAATGAAACACTTCAGGAGTGTAAACCAACAAGGATTTCGAACGCTCTACTGCTCCTCCTTATTTGTATGCAAAGCCGGCCGTGAAAATGTAATAATTTCAAAAATCTTTTGCCAACCAATACTGGCCTGGCCCATCATAAACTGTGGAGCAAGATTTATTACGAAAAAATATTTGATTAACTAACGTGCTTTGATGAATAAATATTTTGAAAACGTGCCGTGTTTTGTGTTTACGGATGGGTACTTCCTGGGCAAATGTTCCACGCAGATAGAAAAGATTTATCCATCATTAAGTTCTTTACACGATTACCCGGTTTTTTCAGCTTTTCGACCCACTCGTCTTGAAATTGGCCGCGTACCGCACAACATGCTACCACGACTATTTCGTCTTGCCTTCCGTTTCAGATATTTCCACTTTCAAGTCGAACGTAGACACCTACTACTATCTCCCTTCGCCACTGGTTTTCTTCCTATAATGCTTCTGGTTACCATTATGCTTACTTTTGTAGAGGATTTTCCTCTGAGTCAATGGAAATTATGTAATAACATACCGTCGAAATCTACCATTGATCATTTATTGAAAGAGTTCGAAGCAAAACAGGACGGCAGATAGTTTTACGAGTCGCTATTCGTAATGCTTTCCTCTGAACGCCCAATGAAGAAGCAGCCCAATCTGTTTGAATTCGAAATCGTGTTAATATAACATCTTTGCATCCATTTGAAATTAAGCAGACACGTTTGCGTCTCTCAAAACATTGCCCTACAACTTTTTGCGCAAATTGATGCTTAATCATATATTGGGTAGGGTATGCTTATATACTGAAGCTGCATAAGAAGTTTCGACTTAAATCATATAAAATTTTTTCTGTTTTCCTTTTTTCTTTAGTTCATTTTCGTTTTACTTTCAGCACTTTGTAGTACGTAATTTATGCAAATTAGCCTTTAGTAAAACCCCGTTCGTTGATTCATTAAGGGATCTCAATACGTTTCCATTGTTCTTTATTGACAACACATAACTTTGTCTTGCTTCAAGCAGAGCGAAAAACAATAGTATTTAAGTGAACTTTTTTCCTTGATTTTCCATGATTTTTTTATTATTTTTTTTTTTTTTTTTTTTGTTTCTTAAGCACAAGTAGGCCCCGTAAGACAAACAAAATACACCATTATAAAAATAGAAGAAAAAAAAGGACCGAAAATAATTGAACACCTGAATAAATGTATTCCAGGGCTATGCCATCTTTTTGTTTAATTTCTCCTGCGCTCCGTCTTTTCCGTCTTTGACTTGTTTTCAAGTGTAAAAGTACTTTTAATGGGTTTTTCTCTAGCATCCTATACGTGTGAATAAGTGAACAAGTGAGAATTTACTTAAATAGATGTTTGTGTGGAAATAGATAAATTCGAACAGCCGTTCGTTTGCTTGTATTAAAGAAATTGAGGGAAAAGTTTATTTGTGGAATTTTTAATTAGTGCAGCAAATATTGAGTGAACTTTTCATTTGTAAATATACGCATACATGCATATACATGCATTTAAATATAGGTATATATATATATATATATATACATATATATGATTCGGACACCAAATAAGCAACATTAAGCTGCGGCAAGAGGATAAAATTTGTGCATCATTACATGAATTTGATCTCATATTTGAAATGTTTTGAAAAAAAATAGAAAATGTAAAAAGTATAGCCCAAAGATGAATGGATTTGTGGACTTATTGAGAGAATACAATGAAAAGTAGAACATTTCATAGCGTAATAAAATATTTTAACTTCACGTCAATAATTCAATTACTTTTCTAATACTTATCCCATCGAAGGATGAATGTACGCTAAAATTCGACAAGTAATATATGCACTTGATGCTCATAAGATTCTGATTCCATTTCTGAGAATATTTTCTATCGACTGATGTCTCAGAATCGTAGAATTTCTTATTGTATTCTTGCTGTTGTGTTACAGTTACAAATATTTTCAGTTCAGATGCTCGAATTCAATTTGAGAACTTTAAGAATCTAAACCGATAGTGAGTAAGGCTTTGTTGAATACTCAAAATAGCAAGTACTTAAACAGAAACTTGAAACTTACCTGATGTATTCTCTAGTTAGGAGTCATAGATCCGCGTGAGTACATAAGTAGGTAAGGAGCGCGACTACCAAGTCAATCTCGGCGCAATAGAACAGCTTTAGTGAGTGCTCAGTCGACAAAGGCATAACACTAATTACCGATTCGGTGCTCACCGCTCAATCCGCTGCGCCTACTCTTCTTACTCTTTCTCCACTTCTTTCTTTCATACACGCATGCCGGCCTTGCCTGAATGATTGGCCAAAATGAGAGAGACAAAGTTAGATGCCATAGATCGAATTAGGAAATGGATATTGTCTACTAACAACTAGTCTCATGCTAAGAGAAAAGTGTAACTTTACAATTTGCCTAAAGGTCGTGAGAATGTCAATCGAATAATAAATTTTGATCTATACATTCTGAGAATGGGAATAAGCCAATCACTATAAGCAGATTGTATTTGCTTCTGAAGCTCAATACAAGTATTGATGAAAGAAAGCGCGCCAAAGGAAAATAAGTACAACCGTTACTATCACACCATTAAATGTCCGGCGCTACTCTATCTAACGCAATATTCTACTGATTTTAGTCGCAATATATCAAAAATTGTGCCCCGTTATCAATTACCCGTGAATAATTATTTTTTTCCTTTGAACTGATGTTATTTAAATTTGGTAAGGATAAGGGTTTACTGTTAAGAACTTATTATTCTTGATTTATTTTAATCATTTTAATAATCAAAAGTAGAGCTTTTTATCAAATAAAAGCTTATCTTTCAATAGACTCATATAAGAGAAAGGACCCCTAAAATGGACCGATGAGATTCAAATAACCCAAGGAAAGTTTATGTGTCACGTTTGCGACTCTAGATCAATTTCCAGCGTAAAATTATAAAAATTTATTGTTCTATTCATTCAAAGGCTTTTTTTTTCTATAAGAGTGGATTGAAATCCCATCCTATCTAAAGTTGCCATATTTATAGGGTAAACTACAACGACATAAGTTGACAGAATCAATTGATTAATAGATGAATCAGAAAATGAGAAAAAAAATGATGCCGACTCGATTGCTATAATAATATAGTTGAGTCAATCTTAATTCATTTCGGCCTTTTACATACAAACTCCGCACAAACTCATTTTTGTACCAGAAATGGTATAACATGTATGGTTATGTTAGTTATTCATAGCTATAAACAGGTATATAATAGAAGCACAATTAATGATATTGATCTCTAATCCAACACATGTAGTTGAAGAGCCCAGACCCAATGAGAAAACGTATCCACCTTTAACTATCCTGCCAATATTTAAATATTAGGAGTCTAAATAAGTTTCTTATTGCTTTTTATTCAAAATTTTAACTTCTTTTTTTTACATTTTCAGACCGGATGTTTACGCGTTGACGGTTACACAAATGTTACAATATATGACCGATCCCAAAGAAATGCGTGAAATTAATACTATCGACGCCTGGAAATGTGATAAAAGCGTCGCCGTAGCGCCTAAGCCTTGTAACATTTGGAATACTTGTGCTTTGCCGTTTAAGATTCCCGAACAAAATATCACGGATACACGTTATATGGAGACATGTCGCGAATGCCCTAACGTTTATCCGTGGCTAGGAGATGCCGGCGGTACCGGTATTTCTGGTCGTGATAACTACATTTTCTCAGGTCCTGTACAAGATGCTGATGGTGAAAATGTCGACGAAAATTAATTTTGAGATATATATATATATACAAAATTTTAAACAACTGTGTTATATGTTGTTATGTCAAATTGTTTTACTTATAGTTTTAAATTGGTTTTCACACTTAATATCATTTTCATTGCATTCAAAATTTGTTTTTAAATCTCTTACATATTCGAAAGGAAAATGTTAAAAAGATGAGAATGAACACATTAAAGTAAACAAAGCAAATGAAGTAGAAGTTCTTTCTAGTTCATAAGTTAGAAATAAAATCGAATTTCCTTTTATAAAGTAAAAAAAATTTTGCTTTAATATCTAAAAACCAAGAATAGATGTCAGAAGCATTGTGTAACCTTCAAAACCCATTTGAAAGCGGGAATATTTGCGGAAAATATTTACCGGACAAAAGTATGTAAAGGAACGGAGAAATTGCTACAATATGTAATAAGCAAAGTAGTTTCCATCATTTTCTACAACTTTCTCCTATCTTCGTGGCAAGATGGCGATATCGTATCGAAAGAATTATATTAGTTTGACACCGATTCAATCAGCGAACAATTTTATGCACTTCTTCAGCTTTCCGAAGCTTCAGGCCACCCAAACCATGCTACGTCGATCTGAACAAGTGGTAATCGGAAGATGCCATGTCTGGCGAGCACGCTGCGTGTCGCCGAATTGCCCATTCGAGGTGCAACAGCGTGTACTTAACAACTCTGTGAACGACGTGTGGCCGAGCTAGGTCATACAAGAAGATGACTGACTTTGAATCTTTTAGCCGCTATTGCTGCTCTTTTACAACAATGCAACGTTAAATTTGCTCAACTGACGTCGATACACATCTGCAGTAACAGTTTCATTCCATTTTAACAGCTCGTAGTACACAAACACCTTGATGCTTACACCATATGCACAGCACAACTTTTTGATCATGAATGTGTCGTTTGAGTGTCGTTGTAGATAGAAGTCCTAGATTAACCCATGGCTTTATTTTATCATTTTCGCGAATAAAAATCACTGATCAAAATCTATGCAAGCACTGATTAATAATTGTGTTGGAACGATGATAGCAGTTATCCAAAAAACACCAAAAAAAAAAACAAAAAAAAAAGAAGGTTCTAAAAATATCTCTATCTCTTATTTTCCTAACTTTTTTCACCTAATCACTTTAACTAGCAATCGACTCACATTTTAACATGACACTAGAGTTTTTAATTTCTTTTATAACACATGTAATCTATTAAAAGCTTTTCCTAGTGTTTTCACATTTTTAAGTACATACAAGACAACTTATAGGATTCATGTAAGTAGAAAAGTCAACAGCAATTGCAAAGCATACACAGACATAGTCTTGCTGAAATAATACAAAGCAATAATATACAAGCAAGCGTGCACGATAATCATAGAGAAGCTTATTACAATAAATTATAATTGGAAGAATAAAGTTTTTCATATAAATAATTTGCAAAACGAAGGAAAATGATAAGGGATTAACACCATAAAGCTCTAAATTCATAGCAATAGCTACAACCGTGATTTATATATATATACACACACACCTACGAAGATTTTTATCAACTGAAATCTGGAAATTTGGTCATGGATTTGTAAATGGATTCAAAAAATCGGTTCATATGCAATCTTGCCATACACTGATAACTACAATTCATTAACCATAATTGATGCAATTCATAAATTAGTGATCAAAAAATAAACTCAACTAAAGAAGTAGAAGATAGAGATTGTAGTCAACTAAGATCTATACTTTTGATAATCATTGACGATTGCTTATGATAAGACGTTCGCTTTTAAGAGCTATTAGCAGCATACGCTATAATATGCAGTTAGTATGAACTCATTCCAAAAATGCTTTCTCATGGAATCATTACGGCATCTTTGAATTTAATATTCATTAATGGATTTTTTTTTTTTTTTTATTCTGTTTGTTAAGTCTAGAGTTACAACGCATATACACCACAACTATAAAATTTTCAATTAATTTCGTTATGTCTATTGCTAACAATGTGTCCGTAAGTCCATACGTTCGTTCGTTACTTATTGCTAAGATTTTGCTGGTAGAAGAGAAATGTAAACTTTAAACTTCTATTAATCTTTGAAAAATAATACGAAATTATTGCAGGAAGGGTTTAATTTTTATAGGAAGGGTTATATGGGGACTGATTCCACCGAGTTACTATTACTTGGCAAATTTTATCTAGAAATTGTGAAAATAGCAAATTACTTACATATAATGATGATTTTTAAGAAGAGACATAATATGGAAGAAAAGAGGAAGGAGAGGGGAAATAGGAAGGTGGTGACGTCCTCAGCCGAGGGGATGTGTACCTAGTCGATAAGTGTTACGGATTTCCGGACTGAGCACTCATTAAAACTGTGACCAAAGAAATCTTTACGGCATTTAGGATTTGAATCCGCACTCAGCTACTCAAGCAGATTTAAAAGAGCATTCCGAATATAAAACGATCCAAAAATTATGATTGTGAATATATGGGCATAATAAGTGCTTCTGCTTCGAAAGGGGCACACAAAAAGCAAACAATGCCTTATATGTTATTATTACAATGTATGTGCATTTGGCTGCTGAAAGAGTGCAGTCTACCAAAGAATTTATAAAAAATTTTCAAGAAATAAACGTAGTTCAGGTTATTAATATCTTTTTTTATGACGGCAAGAGCTCTCATTGCGCTGTCTTGATTTCATCATCACCATCAAAACTTCATATCCATATGTCATATCCCACGTATGCAAAATGCTAACCAAATTGAAAAAAACTTTTAAAGGCACACATTATTGATTTCGAAGAAAATATTTCGCCTTCTTACAAAAAATTTTATCTTAAACAAAACATTTGGAAAAGAATTCTTTCTAGAAAATAATAAAATTTCAATTCTCGTTTTAATTAGAAACAGAAATTTTGTCTTTTGTTTCGTAGTGACAAAGTATTTTCGCTTAGCAGCAATATATCTTAAAAGACTTAATTTCATGCCGTACCACGGGACAAGAGCGTCTAGCAATACATAGTTCATAAGCAATGCCTACGGAGGATACTTCCCAGGCTGGATTGTCAGGCGGTTCGTACTCGTTTTAACTTTCTTTCAAAAACCTGGAATGTTCCTAAAATATTCCTTTGGAATATTTTCTATACCCATCGAAAACTATACAATCAAGATAAAAGTAACTTAGCTTCTGTACTCCTTTATAAGAAAAGTTTTCCCAACATATGTAAAATGAGCAAATCCAAATATGTAGATCGAATATATTCATCCAGGAAAGAATCTTAAGTCTAAATCACTCTAAACAATTTTAGAAATATTCGATTTAGAGCACTGCCTTGATCAAATAAATGTTTCACAATTGGATGTAATGGAAATTTCGTTTATTATGTAATAATTGATATGAAAAGTTGCGAAAAACAAACAATTAATCATTAAATGCATACTGTTGCCAATTGTCTACATTACGGCTACGTTTTAATTTCTTTAAACCTTAATGTGCGCATACCTGAACGCACGTTTATAAGCAATAAGGCAATAAATCATGTGTGACATTACTTTTGACGGGTAAGTTATATTTATTTCTTTCTTGACATTTGAATGTGTTAGGTAATAAACTTCAATGAATTACTTGGGGCGAGATGTTTTCTCTTTTCGAGAGTTTTCTATAAAGGAGTGATTTATCTAATTGAAACAAAAATTACTTCTCATCTGTTATCAGGTGAGCTATCAATGTTTGATATTGCATTTGAAAATTTCATTGGATATGTGAAGTACTGTATGTTGCCAAATTTCTACATAATGCGTTTTCCAAATAAATAATAATAAGCTGATATCTTTGTCTACTTAATTACTTTTGTGTCTAGGTAGCTACAAGATGTCGAGGATTTACTTGCAGGTGTTAAAAGTGCAAATATTTCTGAAGACGAAGCAGATATCGGTGATCTAAGGGAAATTGATTATTTCCCAGACGTACAAGGTCTAACAAAACAATTAGAGGACAATAATGATTATGCTGAAGAAAACGGCAAAGGAGATCCTCCCCGTAGAAGTTCTTTGGAATTGGTGGGAACAACGCACACGTTTCCCCTCGATTAGCAGCACTCGAAACCCCATTCCAATCTTTTTGCTGAATTTATAAATTAGA